GGGTTAAGGGCTTAGGAGTTTAGGGTTTAGGGTTTAGCGAACCGGTTGAAGGACTTGACCGATTCATTGGGCTCGCCACGTAGATGTTGCGAGCAGTCCTAGAAGCCTTTCTTATCAAAGTGCGTTGCTTGGACATTCTAGACCCCGACTCCTTCGAAGTAGACGCAGAATTGAAGGATTGAAGCAACCAATATAGGGGCCCTGATAGTTAGAACAGCGTTATGAGCACATGCCATTGTATCATTGAAATCAGGAACTCTGAGGAGAAATCAGGAACTCTGAGGAAGCCTGAACCCAAAACCTTAAACCCTTAATTGAACCCAAAGCTGGTTTAGGGTTTAGGGTTTAGGGTTTAGGATTGAACCCAAAGCCATATGCAGACCCCTGCAGCTGGTTGAATCCAACAACCACAGCATCCACACCCGTATCTCTCCTAGGCCTTCATCTACCCATAGGCCCCATAGTAGTTCCTTTTTGGGACTACCTTATAGGATTCTAAATATGAATCCCAAAAAGGAACTACTGTGGGGTCTATGGGTACGGACCTCAGAAATGAGAAACCGAAGCAGAGTTCACGCTTTCCGTGTCAAGACAGAACGGATTCAATCTGAGTGCCCAAACCAAAGACGCTTAGGTTTAGGGTTTAGAGGTTAGGGGTTAGGGTTTACGGCTTAGGGTCAATCCACCCCACCCCCCAACCGAACAGACAGAAAGAGAGAGAGAGAGAGAGAGACACACACACACACGTTACAAAGAAAATTGCAGTGCTCAAGGCTGAACAACTTGGCAACACCACACAAATGACAACACACAACATCACTTCTCATAATCATCATGGTCACAACAGTAACAGCAATAAACAATAGTTCTAAAAACAACAATAGAAACAATAATAAACAAATCATAATCATACCCATAATAGTATTAGTAGTCAAAACAAAATAAACAAAGCTAAACTGCAACTCTGTCGGAACCATCCGTCTCAAATTCAGGGCCCGTGTAACATCCCACTACAGATTGGTTTAGGGTTTAGAATAGCGCTATAGGGTCCAGACCCCGAAACGTGAACCGCACGACCAAGGCTCCAAAGTCTACCGCGAGTCGACATGCGAAACTCCCAAAGCCTAATCAAACAGCCTTACAAGGCTCCATGTAGCTTTACAGCTACTTATATTATATACACAAAAGAAACTTTGGGCCTGACATACTCATAAAGGCACGCTGTTAAGGCCGAGAATACATACTATATGAGTATATGGAGCCTTAAAACCCCATGAATAACCCCTATAGGGTTTAGGGTTTAGGGTTTAGGGTTTAGGGGGCCCCTATAGACTCCTATAAAGCCTTTTAGACCCTATAGAACCCTTGTGCAAGCCCTAGAAAGCAACAGTTCCCCGCACCTCGCCGCTAGCGCCAGCGGCGATGGCACAGGACCCGACTCTTTCGGTCGAAGGGCGCACAGGAGCAGCACCCTTAGAGGCTAGAGTTTAGGGCTTATAGGGTTTAGGCTAGGGTTTAGAGCTTAGGGCTTATGGGGTTTAGGGTTTACAGGGTTTAGTGTGCTGATAGGGTTCATAGAGTTTAGGGCTTTTAGGGTTTATAGAGTTTTTGGTTTGATGGGGTTTATAGTTCATCGAGGGTTTATAGGGTGTACAGGGTGTATAGGGTGTATGGGGCTTGTAGGGTTTTGAGGCTGATAGGGTGGATAGGGCTTATACGGTTTATGGGGCTT